TTTAGAAAAGGTAGCTTTCTAGTGTGCAGGTCAAGGAAAAAAAGTTTTGTTGTTTGAGTGGAGTGTAGGTTTTCTTTGTCCCTTTCCCTGCACCTTCTTTCTTTCCTCTTTTATGTTCATCAGCTGAGAGCTGACATCTGATGAGCTCTTGCTGTACCTTCTCCTTTGTCAGTCTGTGGTTGCACACACCAATCAGATGGGGGAACAGGGTTATGTGCCTCCCTGTCCTTAGAGCCTCATGTGACCCATCGTAGACTTGGTTTGTTCAACAGATTTGTTGGAGGCATCTTAAAATACAACAGCTAAGGTTAAAGATCAAGAGCTAATCAGGCTGGGAACCCTTTTTATTTTTTTTTTTTTATGAAGGAGAGGAGTCAAACATGTTCCTGAGGTAGTAAATACTTGTTAAATCTAAGAAGGGCTATTAATGTATGACTCTGAATTGATATGATAAACCACATCAGAGGGGTGGATTTCTGCTAATGTTAAAGCAATATTGTTGCCTGCCTTGCTTTTATAAATATATTTTCCTTTACTTGCCTCCTTTGTTCACTGCATGGCTATTGCCTTAAGAAAGAGCAACAATCATAACTAAATGTAGAGTAAGAGTAGCTAGTTCCTTCCCTGTGGTGCAAAATATAAATAGAAGCCAGTGACCAAAATAAAGAGTAACTTTCCCCAGTTTATACAATAGATCAACAAAGAGTGGGGATATAGACCAAAGTCTTTTAATTTATGTTGCCTTTTTCTGCAAGCCTCAAAAATTTCCAATAATTTTAATTGTTATAATGAAAATCCCTATTGTTCCTGCTAGACTATTTTTGTTGCATTTCGTTTGCTTTCTTGTCCAAGAAAACTGCCCTTAGGGTCAATGAATACAGTGCTAACATATGTGTGAGCTACTAGGAAAAGGTAAGCCCACACTTCCCTGAATCTGCACCTTAATGTGGCTCACCTATTAGAAAGAAGTTGTTTAGATTATTTCTTCTTAGTGATGGTTAATATCCCTTCATAAGTTAGCTTTTGGTTATGCAGTTTCTAAATAAATGTCTCGCTATGTAGCCTTTTAATGTCAGTCTCACTCTCTTGGTTTTCAAGATGTGGATTCTTACAGGGATTTCGCTTAAAATAAGCAACATCTTCTATCAATATAGTGTTGACCTCAGGGTGTTATGAACCACTTTTAACAATTCACTCAGAAGGGGCATTCATGAAAACAAAAGATGATGAGATTTACAAGTGGTTAAATCTGCCCATATTGATTCTGATTTGCTTTTGAGGAGATTTTGGGGGACTTTGTGTTGTTGTTTTGTGTTTTGGTTGTTGGATTTTTTTTTAAATAGGGTTTAATATAAAATTTTTTGGCTATTTTTACATGGGCATGTTTTCATTTAGAGTATAACATTCAGGAACTGAATGTGCCTTTTCCATGTATGCAGAGCCCTCAATAGGAAGGCTATGTTCTTGTAGTTTCAGTTAGCACTATAAATAGCTTTAGAACAATGTTGTGCTGAGAGACACTTAGAGAGCTCCCATTGATATCTCTGGGAATCTTGTGAAAAGGCACAGGAGTGATGTTCTTTGGACATAAAGGAAGAGAGAGAGAGAATCCTTGCTGGATATGACTGTCAATATGAATTTCATCCAACTTTACATGTGAATTGAAGATATCCTCTAGTTTCCTTGTACCTTCTGGTCTCTAGCATTGTTTTCTGGAAAACTACTTGGGACTTGCTAAAGGCACCTACAATTGCAATTTCAGTTGTCACTTTATGGAGAGAACTCAAGGATAAACCTCTCTGTTCTGCCTTGATTTCCTCCTGTCCATAAACAGCTCTGTTTCTCTGAGAGCCCTTCTGCCATCATCAACTTGATCTAATCCTGTTGCTCTAGCTATCTTGGCCATTTTTCAAGTCAACTCAAAGTCTGCTCCAGTAGATTCTTTCTGCATGATATCCTTGAGATAAGACCTGTCCTAAATATCTGTCCAGTTAAAAAAAATTACTGGAGTTATCTTACACTCCCTTCAACATCCATTTCCCTGGCCGTGACTTGACAAAAACAGTTTTGCCCCACTCTTATCCATGCAAAGTGCTGTTACCACTACAATGCCTGGATTTTGATTTTGGTTTTAATTCTGTGTTTCTGATCATTTCACTCTGTTTACTTTTCTCTGTTGGTCACTTCAGACATAACTACTAGCCTTCAGTGTCAGTGTTGCTCACAGTCTTTCACCCCACCTATTCAGGGTTTTTTTTGGCGTTTTTTTTTTTTTTTAACATCAAAGGATTCACTTCCATCTACAGATGTTAAACCACATTGTTATCAATCATCACTTACCTGTTACGCTTTTATACTAACATCTTATGCCTTTCTTACGTGATTTCTTTATGGAGGGATGGAGATCTTAGATATCCACTGACCTGTTTCACTGGCATCCTGCAAGTTCTTAAAATGCTCATTCATTGTGATACTTCAGTGTGCTTGACAGTGATTAGACTAGTTACTGATATAGCTAGTGAAACTGTTGTAACTAACATGCTGTGTTTAGTCCATTGTTGTCTCAGTGTCTCTTTGAACATCCTCGCCTGTATCCTAGCTCATGAAGCTTGTTTTAAACTTTAAAGACTTTCTGAGGAAAGGTCCATCATTGAAATTTGTTTGGTGGTTGTACAAATCCTGGCACTTTGGACTCATGAGCACTCTGGCACATGGAAGTTCATGGTCAGTAGGTGATTAAGGTATGCTTTGTTGTTGCTGGGTCTGTATAAATGGTTGATGGATAGAGATTTGTTGTGGATTCCAGCAGATTGTTTCTAGCACCTACATTGAACTTGCCATATATGCCACTTTGATAGTAATGTAGATCATAGATCACAGAATGGCATAGGCTGGAAGGGACCTGGCATATAAAACCTACCGGTTGGTACGTCATAAAATATTTTTAAGTCTAGGAGTAATGTAAAATCTGATCCAATCTGTCATTCTGAAAAGTTGCATACCTGAAAAAACTCACTGTGCTCACTACAGACTTCCACGTACTTCTGGTTTCATGGAGACTGCAAATGTACTTTTAGTATGGCTTGAACATGAGTAAACCAAACTCTGAAATTCAATTGAGCTTGATTTTTACACTTAATGTAAAAGCTAAACATTTTTTGCATGCTAGGCACAACCTAATTTTTAATAGTTATTTGATATATGTTTCTGTGTCAGGTATTTGCAGGTTTCAAGTAATTTTTATTCAAAAAGTGTGTTTCAGAAATGCTTCTAGGCACTGAATTTCAAAATACAGACTGATTCAGAGTCCAAGGGATTAGGTATGTTCAGAATATTAGAGTATGTGCATTCACTGATTTCATTTAAAAAATTTAATGTAACACCTTAGTATCTTAGTTCAAGATGTATGAGTGTTACTGATAGAAAGATAAGACAAAGACATCCTTAAATCAAGCTATTAGTGGCATGTTCAGTAATTGCTAATTACTAAAATGGATGTAAAACATAGATGCAGTTAAAAGCATGTTGACCAGTGAGCTGAGTCATGGCCAATAACAGCAGACCAGGCACTGTTATGCTGTACTTTTATATAAGCTATTCATCTTCTCTTCTGTGAATACTGCATACATCACTATCTCTGCCCTAGTTTTGTCTCTAGAGCTCTTCATTAAATTGAATAGCCAAAACAAGCTATCCACTGGAAATTATGATTTAGGTCTCTAGTGTGTTTTTGCAGCCTTTAATAGTAAGCTATATGTAGCTGCAGAAGAACTTTTTCAAAAAGCAAGTAAATAGGCTTATGCATGTTTGCAAGGAAGTGTTTTGACTGTAACCATGATAATGTGACTGACAAGTAGAGAAACAATGGGAGATATTTTATTTTTCTGTCGTGGTAAGTGAAATGCTATCTGGATGGAACACAGAAGTGTAATCCAGTGAAGGCTTTTTCTCTTTCTAATAAGTGATACTCTGAACTCCTTGGGGGAGGCTTGTGGAACTCATGCTGCATTCTGCCTTCAATAAGCATATATATACTGACTCTAAACACAGATCAAATAACTAGGCTTCTGGAGCTTGATTTTCCTCTCAGTCTTAAAATATTGCTCTGTGAATTTTACAGCTTTGCATCTTGTAGAGTTTATAGAGTTAAAAACATACCATTGTTAGATTAATGAATTCATTGTGAGCAGTGCAGCTCCTTTATCCTTTGTTTAAAATGAAAGATAAGCTCGTATTTAATTTAGTCAGAAAAGTTAAAACCAAATAGTTATTTTCCTTCTTTATAGTCACTTATAATTGCTTGCAGTTGTACAGTAAATGATAGAATTTGAAAAGCACTGTGAAAAAAATATTGTGGTTATTAGATATTAGTATTCAAATCTGTCTTGAAGTCTGTATTGCCATGGGAATAGGTGCTTCTGAGTCCCATTCCTGGCTCTGCCACTCAACTGCTGTATTTTAGCAGGCAACCTAATCTTCTGGTTCCTTAGAGACCACATGTATTAAATAGAGATTTGACCAAGCAGTGTGATGTTAATATTCAGTGTCTTGTTCTGAAAAACTATCTATGCCTAGAATTCCCATTTACTTCAGATAAAAATAATTATTAGACAGATCTCAGGAACAGTATTTGTAATGTACATGGACATCTCTGGGAGGTGATCAATAAATAAAAAGTATGAAGAAGTTTGGTATTTTGAATTTCCTAATACTTTTGCTTTTTCTCTGGTGAGATAACAAAGTATAAAAAAAACAAAGCACATTGTGAGACAGCAGTCAAAAGTAAAAAACTGAAGGAAGAGTGTTATGTTTTAATCTGATTCACCAGAGTTGAAGCAAACACATTCCAGTGTAACAAGACATGTAGTGTAGCTATTTTCCAAAAATTAGAGCTGATTTAATGCAGCAAATGGTGTGATTGTTCGTACATGATCTTTTACATTAAATTCAGGAAAACTGTGCGATCGCTTTTGGGATGAGAGGCCTGCATAGCCGATAGCATGACGGAGACTCTGAGTGTGATCACAAGACCCTTGGACAGGTGCCTGGTCAGGAACAGGTCACAGGTAGCCAGTGTACGCTGTACAATTGAAAGCAACATCTTAAGACAACGGGGGGTTTTATGGTATCAGCTTTGCAATAGGGCCGTAATTCTAGTGCTTTGCAGTTTGAAATAGCTTGTGTTGCCTCTGTGGAAGTATTTGAGCTGCTGTTATTTTTTTCAATGTTTCTAATAATAAGCAGTCACCCCAAAAGTTACTTGAAATAGCAACTATTCTCTCTGAACTGCAATTTTATTTTCTTTTGGCTTTTATTTCAGCTGTGGGAGCCAGCTGCTCCAAAGAGTGTGGGAAGCTGACTTGGAGGCCTGTCAGCTGTTGATCCGAGGGTTTCAACTGAAAGAATCCAGTTGCTGTGCCTTTGAAGAGGAGGAGAACCAAATGGATGAGATGGAGATGACTGCTGATGGCCCATCTGATTCCGAAAAAAGAAAAGAAGGTCACTTTTCAAAGGATGCGGAGTGGAGTACTGTCCCCTGCCCCAAACACAGTGAGCTAAAAGAGGTATCTGAAATACTCTACAGCTGCATTTCAAGTGATACTGATGGTTTTCCTTTTGAAAGGAGAGTTCAGTCTGGGTGATGGGTCAGCAGCGCAGGTTAACTATGAACTTCACATCTGGCCTGCAATCTGGGACATAAATAAAATAGCTTATTAGCTTCTCGACCCTTTTTCCTTTTGCCATCAGTCTTTTCAAAATGTGAAAATTATTCAGGCAGTAAATACAGAATGTACATCAGGATTTAAAGGAAAAATGATTAAGTATTTCAGACAAAGTATCAGCTGTTCCTCATCTTGCTGATGAATTTGATTCTGAGTTGCTTTTGCTGTCTTGTTAGCCTGGATCTGAAGTGGGGAGAGAGTAAGTTTTCCTCCTCTAGTGAAATGGTCAAAGGCTTCTTAGCTCAGATGCTGGTAGGCTTCCAGCATCCAACAAATATTAAAAGGAGGGGAAAAAATCATGAGGCTTTAGAGGTTCTAAAAGGGACTTAAAATTTATTTTAAGTTTTCATGTTCTGCTGTAGAATGACATCCTTGCTTGAAAAACATACAGCTACCTAATAATCTTTTAACTGCGCTGACAGGGTAAATAAGCTGTTATCACTCAATGTCACTGAAACAAGCTTCATCACTCACAGCACAATTGTGACAAAAAGACCCTCCAACAGGAGTTGTCAGGTTTATTACCTTGGAATGTGGTTGACAAAAATTAAAAGTGTGCTTAATTGCACTCAATGTTAAGAGCCATTGAACTGTGCGTTAGATTGAAAGCTGATGCCTAGTTTTGCATTTATACTGGCTGAGACTTAGCAGAAAGCAGGCCTTTACTTTACTGTAAAATCTCATGTTAGTAAAATTCTGTTTTTAAATTGGATACTTAAGTTGGTATTTTAAATAGTACTTGCAGCCTTTTTCCTAGGGAAAAATGTTTATGGACTGGCTCCACATAGAGAGCATTTTTACTGGTCAGCTGTCACTTTGATTTTTTTTTTTTCTCCTCTTATTTTATTCCTCATGAGTCTGCTGAAGTAATATGAGGAGTTCTGTTGGTTATGGAAAGCTGTGCTCCCCTTTCAAAAGTGCAGCTGAGAAGGTCCCAAGGCTTTGGTTTTTTGTGACTGTTTCTGTAACACTCTTGAGATTTGTGCTGTAGATGATCACCTATTTCACACCTGCAAGTTCAGATAATTTCCGTGCAAATCAACATTGCTGTCCTATATAATGGCATCTAGGCAGCTGAAGTGAGGTGACTTCTGGTTCTGGAGAGATGTGCAGGGCTCGAGAGGGACAGGTTCCCCATATGTTTAATGGAAGAGGACAAGCATATTTGCAGTGCTTCTGTGAAGATCCTCCTTTTGAACTTGCTTTTTGATTATTTCCTCTTCCTTGCTATCAACCATAGAGGCAACTTAGGGAAACTACCTCCCTAACTTCAGCTCTTCATGTGAGTTCTTAAACTTTGTGGTATAAATGCCTTTGCCTGGGATCTAGCCTATCCTGTCCTGGTATCATGAATAAACTCAATTTTGAGAATGTGCCAAAACCTGATGATGTGAAAATATAAATGTGAAAATGCCCAACAATGAAGGACCTGTGGGGATATTCTTTAATCTATTCCTACAGCTCTCCTAGAAAAGGGAAAAAAAAAAGTTTTGTTAGTATAAGAATGTTCATTGATCTTCCAGCTTTTAGGAGGAGTTGAGCAACACAACTGTGTTTTATCACAGCTTTCCAGACTAACCTTCCTCTGCTTCAGTGCTGCCTGCAGCTTTGACCGTTGAGGCAAAGTTACACATCAGTGATGACTTCAGCTCATTGCAACCACAAAAAAAAACAACAAATAGGCTGTATTCTGGTTCTGTAATTAGGGTTGGACCACTTGCTTTTATGCTTACAGGAACTGGGTTTTTTTCTTCATTGTGGAGTGTAGAAGTTTTACCCAAATGAGTACACGTTACATAGTAAAGCTGGTAGCATCTCAGTAGGAGTGACATGCAGGATCTAAACTTTTAGAGAAGAGCTGTAGCGTAACGTTCCCTAACATCTCCTAGTAGTTTATCACAAAGCAGGGTATAAAACCAAACAGAAAATCTGACACATTGCTTACAAATCATGCTAACTTGCAGGTTTGAACATGCTGAAGTGCAAGAGAGAACATGTCTTGATTTGTAAGTGGACTTAGTTGAAAGATAAGCCACTTCATTAGCATTTAAGTGCTCTGTTATATGATACCGTGTATTTTAATGTTAAAAAAAGTGTGTGCCCAAAGACTTTTAGTTTTCAGCATAGCCATTCACATGACTTTCGTGTAAAAATTTACTGTTGTCCGCCAGTAATGAACCTTTTTATAGCCATTTATTAGCAAGTGGGAATACCTAATAGAAAAGCATATATTTGTCAAAATATTTAGTTTGGTATTATTTAACAAGGCTGTGGTGTCACTATGAGAGGAGTACCTTGATGCAGTTGCCGTGTTTCAGGAATGACTACTGTCTTCAACTCCCCATTGGGGAGTTTCTAGAGAGAGCTGTTAGTCACTGAAATAGATAAAGAGTGGTGGTCTTTTTACTGAGAGGTTACTGAATTACTTGCTTCAAAACAGGATAGCAAAGGGTAGTGATAGCGTATGTGCACACCTGCCTTGGAAAGTCCATTTTATTTCCAAGTGATTGATTTACTTTATGGTGAAATGCTGGAAACAAAGCACTTCAGTTATCTATAGTGTTGTATCTGGCTAAGTATTAAGCACCTTGAGTATTGTGTTCAGTTTTGGTCACCTCAGTGTAGGAGAGTTATCGAGGTGTTGGAGCAAGTGCAGAGGAGGGCAACAAAGCTGGTGAAGGGCCTGGAGAATAGATCTTACGAGGAGCGACAGAGGGAGCTGGGTCTGTTCAGTTTGATGAAGAGGAGGCTGAGGGGGGATCTCATCATGCTCTACAATTACTTGAAAGGACATTGTAGAGAGGTTGGTGCTGGTCTCTTCTCACAGGTAATTAGGGACAGAACGAGGGGGCATGGTTGCAAGTTGCAGCAGGGCAAGTTTAGGCTGGACATTAGGAAGAAATTCTTCATGGAAAGAATGGACAGACACTGGAATAGACTGTCTAGGGAGGTGGTTGAGTCGCCATCCCTGGATGTGTTCAAGTGTCGTTTAGATGTGGTGTTGGGTGATATGGTTTAGGGGTGAACTTGTAGTGTAGGGTTAATGGTTGGACCTGATGATTCCAAGGGTCTTTTCCAACCTGAATTGTTCTATGATTCTATGATTACTGTGGAGTCAATATTAGGTTTGCTGGTGTATACTATAAGTACAGTTTTCTTGCATATAACTATCTTACTGTACAGGTTTCATTAGAAAACAAAGAAACAAATAAGAAACATAACAATAAGAAAAGCAATATAGACAAATAGAAAGAACGCTTCACTTAGACCCTCATATACTGCTTTGCAGAGGGGCCGTTTTTCATTCTTAATTAAATATCCTCCCTAGATGATAAAATATTACATGTTCTGGTATAAAATATGTAAGGTATAAATTCTTTGAAAGTTCAAATATTTTACTGTCATATGTGAGCACAAGTTTATTAACTGTCAACAGTTATTTTATAGTCTTTGTAACTGTATTTTCTAACACAGTACTGATTTTTGATTATTTTTTTTCTCCTAGCCTGTGGCATCCCAAAATAATCCAGTAAATCAGGTTTCCTTTATTTTATAACACTGACTGTTAACCAGGGAAGACAATCGATTCTTCTGGCAGTTCAGCTTCTTGAAACATCACTACTAATTTTTGATCAAAACTAAATAAAATGAGGCCAGGAAAAATTATCCTGTGGAGCACTCTGAGACACTTACAAATTAAGATGTACTCCTCTCAATTACAGATAATTCATCAGATGATAGTATTTTAAAATAAATGCTGAGGCAAAGTTATAGACAGTGTTACTACCTTCAACCGTTTTAAGGTCACCTTGTCGTCTAATGTAGTTGAGATAAATTCTTGAATTTTCATATAAACATGTCCTCTTCAGCTGGTAGCTATCGTGATAAAATTAGGGTGCCCCATTATTGCAGTTCTAATTTGTCTTTTCATGATTACTTGGGCTTGATTTTCTCCTAAGTCTGTGTAGAATTTAATATGGGTTCTGGTTTTCATCCCAGAAATGTTCCATGCTTCTAAGCTGACTGCAAATTATTTTGCCCTGGTGATGTGCGAGTGAAGTGGAAGTTGCTGTGATACATATCCGAATGATTTGTTAAATATACAGTAACATTTAATTTCCTTCAGACATGAACGCTTGCCTGTGTCACTCCTTATAATATCTTGCTTTATGTTTTTCTTGGTGATAATGTATGTATAAGCAAAACCTTTTAATAACACCTGCAACACTAATCATGACTAATAGAGAGGCATGTGTGTGCTGGGACCTCCCTAACACCAAGTTTCTTGATGAACAGGAGTATGTGTGCACCTGCAGGCTTGAGTTCCTGACCTATCCTTTTTTTCTTCTTCTGCTCTCTGGCATGCTGTGCAGTCCTCCCTCTTAATCACTGTGAAGGAAAGAAACACCTACTAGATTTCAAGGAAATTGAGGTCATTAAAGTTACAAGGTAAAAACCGAAATTCAGTAGTGTTACCTTTTTGTAAGTCAGCAGGTTTGGGTAGTTATCCCATCAGAATTCTTTGCGGATTATTTCTCAGTTTTTCACCGTAAAAGAAGCAGAGAGCAAGGCTAAGTGTAAGGGATGCTGTGTTTTCCTCACCTCTCTGTGCTTCGGTTTTGTCATCTGGGACGATATTTTGAGGTCTTTTGTAGAGCACTCTGGGAAGATGTTCAATAATGACAAAGCCTTCATTCACTTTTTTTTAAGATACTCAATGTTCTAAGTGATACTAAGTGGACAGTCATGAAAAAATAATAATATTTAATATGATGTCTGTCATTAAAAAGAAGTCATCACAGGATATGACACAGTATTTTTAAGAGTTTAATGAAACACCAAGAAAGCCTCTGTCAGCAGGCTGTAGCTCGTTACTGTGCACTGAGATGCCTCCTGGACCACAGGCTAAATGTGCAATATGTAAAGGACAAAGCCTTTGGAAAGCTAAAAAACAGTGCATTTATCTGAGTTTTATTAAACGTTTTATTTGTAGAGCTGCAAAAATAATTTGGAAACTTTAAATTTAATCTTCATTTTAAATGTCAGCATTAAGCATCAGTGCAAGTCAGTGTTTGAGTGGTTTTTTTATTAATCCAAGCTGGAAAGGATTTCTGTAGCAACAAGCAGCTGGCTTGAACACAGTGATCAGATCATTGGTGTACAGTCACACACGTTGTGCAGCAAGATGCCTCTTAGCTGCGTGAGGTACTGTTGTATAGTATCTGTTGATAAAAGTGCTCGCTATTTAGCTAGAGATCTCAGCATCTCAGTAAGCTTAATGCTTAAGTGTATTTTGCAGCAAAATTATAATCGGAAAATTAATATTACAGGTAAAAGAAATCCAAGCAACTTACTGAAAGTATTATCTAGTAATAATAATGATTTTATAGGAGAGTAATGTTTTTGAGCTTTATTATTTATATGTATATACATACCTTTGATACTATTGCCCTACTGAAGCAACATCCTTATCTCTGTTTATTTAAATATTATCAGTGCTATTATGAGTGATAAGCATTAATGATTTTCCAATAATAATATTAACAACAAATTTCTTTGCTCCTCCACCAATCAATGAAATGTTGGCTAATTTCTTATAGACTTTACAGATGAAGTAAGCTTTGAAAGAGGAACAGACTATAGTTAGCATGTGTTACCAATGCAAAACATCAGTGGGGTCTCTTGGTTTTCCTGCCCAAAATCACTTACAGTGCTTGTGCCAAGAGAATTTCTGTAGACTCTTGAATGGTGTATAGGCCTGTATGAGCTTGGTAGAGAAGTTTATTTCATTCTATAATTAGCCAAAGGCAGGCTTTAATAAAATGTGCTCAAATTTAGCTTTAAATATTGGGTTGCTGCCACTGCTCCCATTATAAATGCAATTCAAGTGTTTCATGTGTGTGAAGCAAAATGATGTAATTATTCAGCTTATGTAACTGTTTAACATGCTATATTTTTATTACAAGTTCCACTGAAATCTTGCTGTTTATATAGCATGTATCTACTATAGACTAAATAATTTATCTCTAACAGGTCACGGAAGATGTTTCATTTGGAGCAGAGGGTCATTTATCCGAGGTGAGTGTTTTCTAGGCAGTAGAAAGTGGTGATATCATACAGACCTTTCTGAGTCTCAGTTAGAAATAATGACACTTGTGTTTATAGTATTACTTTTGGGTAAAAATTGCTAGAGAGTGTGTGAGCACTTAGAAAAGCAACATAGGCACAACTAGAATAAGCCTGCGTTTTTTTTGCATTGAAGATAATGGAGAAAAATTGATGTGTATTTATAGTTAAATTTTATGCTAGTGCTTTTAATACATACCAACAACAGGCTGAATATGGTGGGGAAAAGAAAGACCAATAATATATAGTACTGTAATGATGCTTAAGACTGGAACAAAATCATGATGTTTTACTTGTTTCCTGTGTACTGCTAAAAACACTTTTGAATTTATTTTTGAAGTATAAAAGCATACTGCAGCAGAATACAGGGTAATAGGAATTTCATCTGTATAAAAACACTGGATGTTTGTAATTTTAAACTATTTTCATAAAGAAAAACATGCCAGATCCTAGTCTATATATTTAGGAAAGTCTAGGATAATTGAGTAATGTCAGGTGCATTACCAATGAGAGTGAGTTACGAGAAAAATCTGCTTACATACAAAAATCTGTCTACATACAGACTAAGTTTGGGTAGCTATGTACGAGGAGAGTTATACTGTTTCTAAGAGATGGACTGATTCAATTTGATCCATTTTTTAGACCAGTATGTCTTGGGTTGCCACTTACGTATTAAGGAAATTGATTATCCAGGCAATGTGTCCAGCCAGCAAATTAATTACATGGGTAAGTAACCCCCAGTTCACCTTCCATAGCAGCATACATGCCACCTGTCAAGTGCAAGTGACAAGTGCTCAGCCAAGCAATTATTAAACAAATAAAAAACAAACAAACAAATAAATAAATGCTGTAGTTTGGGATAACTATTCAGATGAGGCATTTCTTTGGATTCTCACCAGTGAATCCAAAGACTGTGGAGCAGGTGGAATGCTTCAGGAAAGGTAATCTAACTGCAAAACCAAACTCAAATTGTTGACCTTGTGTACAAGGAGACTGACATGAGAGAATGCCTAGGATATACTGCTTGGCTATGTGCAAGTTCAGCATAAATAAAAACAGGACACCTTAAGAGTGAAGGTGATCTTTGCAGAAAATGCAAATAGCCTTTCTTATCAGTGAACTTTGCTATGAATTAAAACAAAACTGTGCAGGTGCTTGTGTCCACAGATGACATGAAATAGGGACAGGTAGTCCCATGGGATAAAGGTAGCAAAAAGCCCTACTGCCAGCAGGGCAAAATCATAGAATTTTCTTCAGGTTGGAAGGGATCTTTAAAGGTCATCTGATTCAACTCCATACAGTGAGCAGTTCTTCAACTAGATCAGATTGCTCAGAAGCCTGGCCAACCTGGCATTGACTGTTTCCAGGGATGAGGCTTCTACCACTTCTCTGGGCAACCTGTTCCAGCACCCTCACTGTAAAAATCTTCTTCCTTGTATATGGTCTAAATCTGTCCTGTTTTAGTCTGAAGCTGTTATCCCTTCTCATACCATAACAACTTACAAAAATACTGAGGACCTGTTGGCAATGATACCTGCCAAGACAGCAGAATACCTGCTGGAAACTAAAAAATGTGTGTGATCGGGACCAAAGCAAGTGAGAGTACAGATGCATGCTTGTGTCCAGCAGGGACCCGCACCAGAAGCTGTGGTACTGTCCAGCCCTTGACTGAAGTTGTTCTTTTGCTTTACAGGAGATGTGCCCAGAGCATGTGAGTGTGACGTGTGCACAGGGTTTACAAATGCACCAGAGCTTAAAACCACAGAGGGCTGCTGCTGTAGAAGTATTCACTTAAAGCTTTTGATATCTTAGAGCCCTTACAAGCAGAGGAACTTGACTCTTTTGAAGTTTTGAAGGGGAAAAGTGCATAAATTTAATAGAAAGCAACAATAAAAATAAAGGAAATCTGCTAGAAAGCCAGTCTCTAGCACACTGCCACAGCTGGATTGATACTGGCTTGTAGACAGCTGTATGAAACTGTCAAGGCTTTGCCCAAATGTTCTTTTGATTATCTGGTCCCCTATTTCACTCATGTCAGCCTCCCTGCTGCCTGCAGGAGAGCACTCTAAGTTAGTCAAGAATGTTGGTTTTTAGTGACTCAGGAGATGAGATGGGAGTGAATGACACTGGGAGCCACCTGTAAATGATACCTGGCTATGCTGACTCCTAGCACAGCAGGATGTGGACACTAGAAAACAGTTTGGTGCTTGTGTTTCTTTTCCAAGTCCTGTCCAACTGTGATTTTTTTATTGGTAATTTAGTCTCATCCTCCTACAGCAGGAACTGGAATTGTCCCAGTTTAATTGAATGAGCGAGTGCAGTTAGTGTGCACTCATTTTAGGAAGTCTGCACTCAGGGAAGATTTTCAAGCTACCAGAGATGATAATGGCAAGACTGCTGTCACTTAGACCATGGCAGGGTGCTGAAAGGCAGTGGAAAGCTCTATTCCTGTGTAGATGCTTTTCCAAGGACACTCCTCCTTAGCTGTAATGGAAGATACGCAAGGGAAAGAATTGCCAACGTTGGACAGTGATTTTGATGAGTCATTTAACTCTCCATGTGGTGTAGAATCCCTGCGGAGGAGGGAAGGGGATCAGTGTAAGCAAAGGGAATGGGGAAAAAATGTGTGATGGTGAGGAGGAGGTAGATCACAGTTGCAAAACAGCTGTCTGGAAAGCTTTGTGCTGAGGAGTGTCTTATAGTGCTGCAGTCTCAGAAATATCCATAAACAGGCTGGTGGAACAAGCTAGCAGTCTGTAAGTGGAAGGTGATAAAGGCAAAAGTAATTGGGGAAACAACCATGATCCCTGTTCTTAGAAAAGGCAGATAACCACCTCCATGAAAGAAAAACTCACCCAGACTAAATCAGAGAAGCAACAGGTGAATTTCCATGGGACGAACTCTGTAGGAGGAGGAGGAATCAGCAAATTATCTTTGATACCTTCCAGAAGACATCATGTTTATAGTACAGCACCATCTTCTTTTTGGTGCAAAAAGAGCAGAGACAGTAACAGTTTACATATCTGTGTTAGCAACTCTTCAGTGGCTGAAAAGAATTTTGCAAAGGACAAAAATGTTCCTGAGGATGAGCCTGCATAGTCATTGTGAAGTGAACCAGCAAAACCGCTGAACACACTAAGCCACTGTAAATGAACATGTGAAATGGCGAAGGGAGCTGTGTTTAAGGTGCAGGTGAAAGAAAACATGTGTGCCTTCTAATAGGAAAGGTGAATTAGAAAATAATGAAATGAGAGCAGAGGGCAGAAATACTTTTTATTTCCCTGTTTTCTTTGCTTTTGGTCTTTCTAAAAATGATAAACTATGTCCACATATGTAGCGCTGATAGTATTCACAACAAGGTAGCAAGAAACAAACACAGTAAAGGATCCTAAGGCAAGTGAGATGTCCTCAAGTCAGGCTAGACTGATGAAATTTCTTCTGAGTGCACAGGAGCCAAGAAAAACAATCTCCAAACCATTAACAAGCTTCTTTGAAAACTCCTAGAGGAAGCTTGAAATCCTAGGGGACCAGTAAAAGGCAGACTTGGTATTTGCCTTTAAAAAGGAGGTGGGCAAAGAGTTTATATGCCAGTCAGTGTGATTTCAATTAGGATTAGAATTCCAAATCCTCCTGATAGATTGAAAGAATGGCTTGAAATCAATAAGGTGGGATATATTAAAAGACAGGTGCAAATTACATCTGAGGAAGAAAGAAAGTTGGATTTATGTATACAGATGGTAAATAGCAGCTAAGATGACAGTACTGCAGAAGGAGAATCTGGGGTTGTAGTGGACTACAGATAGAGTGGGATTCATTACCTTCATCCTGTTGCAAGAAAGGGCAAATGTCATTTGCAGCTTCATTAATGGGAATGTCATTTGTAAGACAGAAATAATTACTGTGCTTAGCTGAGAATGTCAGAGTCTCCAGAGGACTACAGCACTGGTCTGGCCCTTCACTCTATAGAAGTCAGGAACACACCGAAGGAAAGGAACAGAGACACAAAAGGTTTAGAAATCCTGGTCTGGTTGAAAGTCAAAAGTTCAATTGCATACAAAAATAATGATAGAGAGGAAAACTATGAGTTATCCTTGTGTCCTATATATGGGTAAAATGAAATGTAACCATCTTGGTTTCTAGCAACGGAAGTTTGGGGTAGGAAGGCTCGCTCACTGCAAGGGCAGGCTGGCCCCGGAGGAAGCTAGCTGTACCCTGCAACCAGAACTACAAACTCCCTGTCAGCTGCCAAGAGCCATGTAGGCAGACACCAGCTGAGGACAGTCACAGTGGGCTTGGTTGCACTACAAGTCACACAGTGGGCTTTGGTGGTCCTTGGTTGCTTTCTCATCAGCCTTGCCATGATGTTAGAGTAGTGTTGGCCATAAGTAACATGTTATTTTCAGAGTAAAAGATTAGCCCTGTTCTCCATGGCCACTTATGCTTCCTCCACCTGCACTTGGGGCACTCCATGGCCGTGTAGCTCATTATCTGAGGGCATGTGCGCTTAGTCTGCATGTGACTGAAGCATCTGCTCGGGCAGGGCAAACATATGGATAGTTGCATTTGGTATATAGAAATTATTTAAGAGATGCCCTGATCTGACATTCTGGAGTTTCAAGTGCTCAAAATTTCCATTAACTTCTGCAAGGGGTGAGGATAAGCATGTAGCACTTCTGCCAACAGCAAGTTGCTGTTCTGAACCTTATACCAAGTATCTATCTGCAAGGGCACCTTTTTGTAGTTGTCACTTACATTATTTTGAATGATTTTAACCGTTAGAGGAGAAAGAAGATTTAGAACAGGTGAAAGAAACGTGTCTTTGATATTCTGCAGAAGGTCTTCTAAGGCTTTTGTCTTATTAGGTTTGTGATATTTCTAGTTGAAAGGCAACACCTTTTTACGTCTTTTCCTCTGTAAGAAGAATGAATTTTAAGGATATATCTGGGATTTCT